TTTGTCTCTTATACTATGGACATGTTACTAGGATGGACCAGCCCCTGGAGAAGGGCATCATACTTGGTAAAGGGGAAAGTTGGCAGAAAAGAGGAAGACCCCCAATAAGATTGTAGTAACAATGGACTCAAACGTAACAATACTTGTGAGGATGGCACAAGACCAGGCAGTGTTTCATTCTTTTATGCATAGGGTCACTATGAGTGGGAACCTACTGGAAGGCACATACCAGCACCACCATCACTGACACTAACCACAAGGTCAGAGGTTCAAACCCACCAGCTCCTCCTCAGAAACCCTATACAGTGTTGTTTTGAATTGGAATCAACTCGATGGCAAAGTGTTTGTTTAAGACTTTACTGAACACCTCTTGTGGTCCAGGTTTTGGCGATACACACACTCAAACAGCTAAGTCTTAACCTTTGGAAAACTTTCATCTTAGAGGAAATGGCAAATGATATTGTAAGGAATCATAAGATTCTTATGATTCAATAGCGAATAATTGTTATTATGACTAATTGCGACAGTCACAACTGTAAAAGTAGAAGTTTTGTAACATAAAGGGGGTGGGTAGTTAATCTTACAGTCCAGGAACAGAGGACCCGAGGGCCATTAAGGAGAAGAGCAGGAGCAGAATGCAGGACCCTATCCAGAGAAGCAGTGACACCAGAAATGGAGGCAGAGATGAGGACATGGAGAGAGAGAGCAGCTGAGGATTCTAGACTCATGGAAAGAGAAAGGCTGTGTGCTGGTGGCCAGGAGGCAGGCTTTCAGAATGTGCCCTTCGGTTGTTTAAATGATTATATATACCTGAGTGTTTTTGTGTACATGAAAAACAAACACAAAACAGAGAGACTAGAAGCAAATACTGTTGAATGATGATGCATGGAGGAGAGTTAATCATTGCAATGAAAGATGAGTGCAAAACGAATGTTCTATGTAAACTATCACTTAATTCACAATAAAAACTTAAAAAAAAAAAAAAAGATATTGTAAGGGCTTGAGTCCCAGGCGGCCAAAGAAAACCGAAAGAATTCTTAGCTTAGGTCAGCACACCATCCTTCCCCTCATATACCAAGGTCAAGCAAACCGTGGCAACCCTCCCCCCCTCCCCCCCAAGACACAGGCACTAGGAAGATGCTGGCATTGGAACTGAAGAAATAAGACCCGTAGGCGCTGGCTGGAAAAAAAAACAAAAACAGCTGAAGTGTCCTCTCTTACAATAATCCACTGGAGCGAGAAGAGCAGAGGTTCTATCTTGGCAGGCTGTTACCGGGTACGGGTGCGGACTGAGGCAAACTCGGGGATCCGAAGGGGAAGCAATGGGGACAGGTGGGCGGGAGAGGGAGCAGGGTGTGCGCTCAGCCTCGGATGTGGGCTCCTGGATGGCCACGCCGGCGCAGGGACCAGCGCGGCTCCTCCTTCTCGCCGCGCCCCTTTCCTCTTCCTTCCCCCTCCTTGGCTCAGGGAAGAGGTTGGGCTGGATCCCTCAGCAGCCGCCGCTCCTCCTCCTGGCAGGCTGGCTAGCGAGTCAGCTGACGCCGGCGCCCCAGCCTCGCCTCCCCGCGCCGCGCGCCCCCAAAGTGGCTCCTAGTCGGTCGCCCACTTTCAGGCTTTTGGGGGGACAGAGAAAGTGATGCGCGCCTTCTAAAGCCAGACCGAGCCGCCGCCTGAGCTGCTGCACCCCTGCAACTTTCTCCCACCCCCCGATTCCTTCTCCTCTTGGTCCTGCCCCTCACCCCTCCCCAAAGCCACTTTGGAAATAGGGTGCGTGCGCCTGGGTAACGCGGGTCAGTAGGCTGTCCGGGATGGCGTCCAATTTTAATGACATAGTGAAGCAAGGGTACGTGAGGATCCGGAGCAGACGCCTCGGGGTGAGTATCGATCCTTTCTTTTCTTCTGCTCCCTCGCTCGATTGTCTTTCTCCGGCGTCCGCATCGCTGAGGGCCGCGCGCTGGTCGATTGAGCTGAGGCTTCCTCTCCGAAAGCCACCTCCCCCGAGGCTGGCTTTGTAGGGCCAGAGTCTAGGCACGTTAAGGATCTATGTTTATCTCCTCGATGACTTGGCTTTCTGATGCTGGCCGCGTGCTCGGCTTCAGTAGCCATTGGGCGCCCATCGCCTGGAGAGAAATATTCCCCAGTAGCCTTGGGAGTTCGCGTTGAGAGCCCCGGGCTGGGATGCCTAACCTGCCCCAGGTCCCCAGGCCCCTGTCCCTTCCCACTTGCCGCCAACTTAAACTTTTCCAAAGGATGAAGTAAAACGGCAGGCTTGCCCGGTGTGGCCCAGGTCAGCGACCCTCTGACCCCACAGGCAAAAGATCCCTTCGGACTCTGGGTTCTGGATAGTAGCCCATTTCGACCCCAAGTATTGGCCAAGGCGGTGGACTGGGCTCTAGCCAGGGCCAACTTGTGTATACCTGGATCTGACTTCTTCCTGGTCTTTAGCCTGGGTGGTGGCTTTCTGGGGCTGGAATACACTGGTACCCACAGGAAATGATTTAGGGTGGAGCATCGTGCCTGCACAGAGCAAGCGCTCTGTAAATACGCACTGAAAGAAAGAATGAATGAATCTGGGGGACGCGTCGTGAAGGGACGGACCGTTGGCACTGAGATGCCTCCTTGCTTAAAACTCCCTTCTTTCCCCCTTTTTTCTTCATTGGTGGGGTTACAGGAGAGGATGCATTATCTCCCACTCTGAGTTAGAATGATGATGAAGGAATTCTTGGGGGAACATTTTATTGTTCTTTTAAAAATTTTCAACTGCTTCATTTCTCTTTGCTTGTGTTAAGTATGGTTGCTGCATTTGTTGAATCGATGTATTGGGGAGCAAAGAAAGTTTACTTAAGTAATGTTGAAAATAATAATGTGGAAGAAGGATTGGCTGAGCTCTGAGTGATGGATCGAATACATTTCTCTACAAACGTATGCCATTTGGCGTCCTTCTCTTATTTGGTCTCTGGACTTCTTTGATGTGCTGGATAGCGTTCCTGAAAATCGAAAGGAAATTTCACAGTGGTAAATTGATCCAGGGAGGAAGAAACCCTGGTAGAGTAGGTGATGAGAAACAGCTGTAATTATGAAACAACTCTTGCCCGCTTTATTTTGGTCATTTCTTCTTTCTCTGCTGGTAACCACATTGTAGCAAGGTTGCCCAAGCTGCAAATATATAAATATATAACTAGAAAGCAGTAAAACCCAATTAACCAATCCCTACAGTCTTGTGTATGATAGTCTTGATTTTTCTTTTCTGCCATGCAAATATCCTGATGGACCCTAGCAGTTTTTGTTGGTGTGTTCACCTGAAGGGACTTGTGTAAAGGGACAGACATAAAAGGAACTTTATAGCCTTGATAAGCGCAGGGACCACCCAAGTGCTAGAATTTTAAAGGGACTGTTAAAAAAAAAAAAAAAGAATTTTAGATTCATTCCACCTCAATTGAGGAAATTGGTAAGAGACACCCAGACATCCATTCTGCATTAGGAAGCATTCCAATAGGCGGAGGAATGCATTATTAATGCACCAAACGTGAATTATTCATAAGGAATGGAGTTTATGCCAAATTGTGACACATGGCAATTTATTTGAAAGACTGGTTACCATAACTTTCTAGTTTATGATAATTGTGATGAATTTTGTCTCTATTCTTATCACTGACACAATAAAGTCCTACGCTTGTGCAAATGTTTATGGGCAGATAGCTGAAGCAGAAAGAAAAGCAATGTATTTTAGTTTGCATGCGTTTTATGTTTTCCAGTATTTTGGATGCCAGCGAGTAGTGTCCTTTTTCAGGATTTACTCATTTTGTATGTGCTAACACCCATTGAATGATAGTTATCACTCATAGGGAGAAAAGGTCAGACACACCACCAAGTACATATATTCTTCTTTGTTAACGCCAGCTATATCACCACTTAATATTATAAAGGTGTAACTGATAGAGGAGATTGATTATGTTGGCATCAGAACACTGTGCAAACTAGTCTCAGTGGAGATTGTAAATAAGAGTGAATGTTGCTTTAGGAAAATGCCTGAGGAACCCCTGTCCCAAGTAAGGAATGCTTGTGTTAACCGAGGCTGCATATAGCCCAGGACAGCATGCACCATGCATATTCTGAGAAAGCAAATGAGACTCGGGGTAGGGCTGGAGCATGGTGTCTGGCACAGGGACACTTATAAACTGCACGTCGAACTACTTATGAACCCATGTCCTCGTGATCGGTAAGTCTCTTTAGGAACTAATGTGAAAATGAGACTTAGTGGTATATTAATGGAAGTCAGGCAAGTGTCTGTGGATTAGAACCATGTTGGGGAGGATTTATAATTAAACAAGAAACCAACAGTTCACGACAAGCAGCTGTTGTACCAAGAAATGCTCCCTCAGCTTTGGAAAAAGAAAAGAAGGCAACAGATTCTGCTTGCATTACTCATTAGCCTTATGACCTATGACCTTTATCAGCCTGAGTTTTCTAATGTGTCCTGTGAATACTATCTAAACTAAAGCCTACTCCTCCTAGCACCCTATGGACAACAAAGTCGGTGGTTCAAACTCTCCAGCCGCTCCTTGGAAACCCTGCACAATGTTGCTACCGACTCATTGGCCCTTAACAACAATAATAATGACCCTTTTGGACTGTCAACTCGACAGGCTTATGGCAACCCAAACAGTGGAATTGTCTTAGTAGCAATGGGTTTGTTTTTTTGGTTTTTAAATGTTTATGGAATTAGACTACCGCACCTTCTCCCATGGCTCAGCTGGTGGGTTTGAGCCACTCATTTTTTTGGTTAGCAATTGAGTGCTTAATCACTGTGTCATCTGGGCTCTTATGAGTACCAATTTAGTTGCATGACATAAGAAAGGAGTCCTGGTGTGGTATTGTAGGACCAGCACTGGACTGCCAACTCAAAGATCAGTAGTTCAAACCCACCAGCTGCTCCTTGGAAACCTTATACAGTGTGGCTCTGAGTTGGAACCAACTCCATGGCACTTAACAACAACAGCATGACAAAATAGCTGTGAAAACACAGTGAGAGTATAAAACATTGATTCAGAATACAGTCTTTATTACAGTCAAAGATGAGAAAGGATTAGGAAAAGGATATGTTGCTGGTAGATGCTGTTGAGTTGATTTCGACTCCTAACGACACCATGGGACAGAGTAGAACTGCCTCCTCGGGCTTTCTTCCTTCCATCTGTATGGAAGCAGATCGCTACTTCTTTATCCCAGAGAGCTGCTGGCTGAGTTCAAACTGCCAACCTTTAGTAAGCAAGTGGCTTATCTATTTAGAAATGTCCAAAGACATAAATGTTTAAATAGCTCTAAATGTTTTTATTGGAGTCCTGGTGTGGCGCTGTGGATTAATACGCCAGACTGCAAAGCCATTTGAACTGCAAGGTCAGCGGTTCAAGCTCACCAGCTACTCATTGGAAACCCTAGACAGGGTTGCTATGGGTCGGAATCGACTCGACGGCACTTAGCAACAACAACAACAAATGTTTTTATTAGATGAAGTTTTTACAAAGGACTGTGATTTGTTGTTGTTGTTAAGTTCCGACTTATAGTGAACCCGCGTAGGGTGTCTGAGGAGAGTGGCTGGTGGGCTTGAATTACTGACCCTGTGGTTTAGCAGCACAGTGCTTACTTATCCTACAGTGCTACACCAGGACACCTAGGTGTGTGTGTTTTCCATGGGACAAGAGACATTGTAAGTTCATCCCTATTCAAACGGGTTAGAGAGAAATTGTCATCTTCAGTTGAGATTCTACACAGTTTAACTGCTTAAGCCATCATGTATGGGCTTATTTTTTCTTTCAGCAGGAAAACAAGCACTGAGCTTCCATAAAACTTGCCGGCAAGAAAGCCCGAGGGGGTAGTTGGACTCTGTCCCATGGTGTCTGTGAGTCGAAATCAACTCAACAGCATCTACCAGTAACATATCCTTTTCCCAATCCAAAAGTCTCAGTGTCCTCAGCCTGTTCTCTATTTGCTTCTGAAAATCTCCTGTTATTTTTATGTGCCTGCAATCCCCCAACTGCTTGCTTTTAAATAACACATCTATGCTGATGTCTGTGGCGCTCCACTCTGCTGTGCCCTCAAGGCTACCCCTCATCTCCGCTTGGCTGTCTTAACACATCTGAATCATAATATGTTCAAATCCTTGATGGTTTCATCCAAACCAACTCATGCACTCAGCCACTGGAGGGTTGACTATTTTGGTTGCAAAAATTAGTCCATCAGTCAAAAGTTGGTGTCATCCCTGTCCTCTTCTTTCATCTCTCCCTACTCCCTGCTACAACCAATCCACCATGAGACCTGTGAGCTCTTTGAAATTCATTTAAGAGCTCTGGTAGTGTAGTGGCTACGAATCGAGCTGCTAACCTCAAGGTCGAGCAGTTCGAAACTACCAGCTGTTCCGTGGGAGAAAGATGAGGCTTTCTGCTCCCGTAAAGATTTATAGCCTCGGAAACCCTTGCAGGATCACTATGAGTTGGAACCGACTCCATGGTACTTAACAACATCAACAATCTCTCACAACATCCACTGCTACCATCTGGTTCATCCTCCACTGTCTCCCCCCTGTAATATTGGAATAAGCTCCTAATTTGCCCCCTTGCCCACATCGTTGTCTCCTTCAGTCCATTCTCAGGGTGACCCTTGGGGAATGTAAGATTGATAATGCCTCTTGGTGGCTCCAACCTTACACCAATGGCTTCTCATTCAATTCAGAGCAAAGTCTTGACTTCCTGTTGGTTTCTGTTGGCTACCCTCAAGTCGACGTCAACTCACAGCAACCCCATGTGATGGAATAACTCTTCCTCATGGAGTTTACTTGGCTGAAGTCTTTATGAAAAGACATTGCCAGGTCTTCCTCCTG